GAGCCACAGAGACATCAAAACACATAACCTCACTACAAGCCACACTCGCAAGAACTAATAAGGGAACTTTAAACGTTCCTTGCCCTTGACCCACGTTTCACATAGAATCACATTTCCTTGTAGGTGTGAAACTCCTAAAAAGGTGCATCTCCTAAACGTGCAGAACTCCTAAAAAGAAAGACCCACCTGCCTTGTCGGTGAGGGCAGCTGTCACCCTCCCCGCCCCTGAGGGAAGGACCAAGTGCGGCTCCCGCAGCAGGTGACCCTCGAGTCCCTGGCCAGCAGTCCAGAGCCCCCGGCGTGGGATCGACTGCCGCTCGAGGACAACCGGGGAAGACGAGTCTCAAGACTGGTGAGCAGTCTGCATCCACGGAGAGTCATGTCCATGACCCCAGCGGAGCGCTGGCCGGAGTCTCTGCTGCACAGTGTGGCGTGCAGTTAGGGCACCAGCCTTGTGAACACGGCGTGTGCAGCTACAAAGGTAGAGGCCTGGGGCCTGGGAGCATTTGACTGCTCCTTGGGGGCCTTAACCAGAAAGAGCAGGGGAGGCCGACTCCTCGCGGTTTTCAAAAGTCAACACCAGAGATGCAGTTGGAAACCCAGGAACCAGGACCAGCTTCCCACACCTCCTGCCCCCAGGACGGTACAGCTGTCCCTGCAGACACCTGGGTCTTGCCCAGGAGTTGGCCTGAACTCTGGGAGCAGCTAGCAGCAGGCCACAGAGCTGGGGCCCCACGGAGCGTGTTTACATTCCCCAGCTAGAGAACGCTGATCTGGGCTCAGCTGGAGGGTGGGTCCTCTTTGAAGATCCCCCGACACACACAGACTCTGCCATTCTCCCTGGCCGGGGCCTGCTTGGTGGAGAAGTCTTTCTCTGCGCATAAGGCAATGGGGTGACCCGAGGGCTGAGGGGCTGGGACGGGGCTGAACGCCTGCTTTTCCCAGTTACGATCAGCAGCTCACCAGGCGTGGGCACCCGTGGGCAGACCTTGTTGAGCCTGGCATTCCAGGGACTCTGACCAGGAATTCTGGGGTCCTAGGCCTTTCAAAAAAGTAGACAACAACATGTCTTAGGCAGATCGCTAGGACGACCCAAAGTCCCAAGCCCTGATCTAGAAAGCAGAGATCACCTGAGTGCAAATTCTGGCTCCACTCTGCTTCATGACCCCGGGCACGCTGCTTACGTTTTCTGAATCTCAGTACAATTTAAAACGAGCAGAGCGCCGTACTCCATTGATGGTAAGGCATATTTCCTCACTTTGGCGACTCTAAGAGCAGCACGCTTCTTACAACAGACAGCGTCCGACTGTTTTCTTGTAGCGGTCCATAACGTTTTGGCGTGTGCAGCGCGCACGGAGTCTCCGACTTGATGAAACATGGCGCATATACCTTGAAAGGCTGCTCTGAGGGCCCAGAACAGAAGCTGGCACACAGCCCATCCTCCCTCGCTGCTGGATGTCAGTGCCGGCTGACGGGACTAGCCTTCCCACGGCTGGATGCCTGCTTGCTGCCACAAAGACCTGGTGTTGGCATGGCGAGCAAGTTACGGTAATGACAACAGGGCCAAGGGGAGGGTGGGGGCCCCAGGAGTCTGTACATGACCTTGACAGAGAGCGAGAGGCAGTCTGGTCCCCCAGCTGACCCCCAACTTCCCTCTCCGATCCCTTGGTCAGGAAGCTGTCCTGTCAAGCAGGATGGCCCAAGGTGGAGCCCTGAGCCCAGCCGGCAGGACCATGACACCCAGGGCCAGCCTTGGTTACTATTCCCATCATTCCTGTTCCGTCCACCCCTGGTCACACAGCACACGTGGATTTTCAGAAATGTTCTTAGCTCTGGAGCCCGATCGCGTTGCCGGGAGCACTATTACAGCACAAGCCTTAGAGCAGAGAAAACGACCTTGTTCTGTAACTTTCCCAACACCCAATTAGAACAGCAGCTACGGAATTAATGAGGCTGCAAACAGTGCACTGTCTCTTTAAATGGTTTTCCTGCGGCCAGTTGTTTACAAAGAAATTCCTCAGGCCAGGAAGTAGGGGGTGAACCTGGAGCCAGCAACCACACTTGGGGAACAGGAGCAGGTGCGCCTGGCAGGCCCCGATTACAACCTCCGAGGGCGGGGTGTCTGTCCCCTGCGGATTAGAGCGCGTTCTGACTCAGCAATCTGGCCCGCCCAGGACCGCGGCCGGCCACCGGTGCGCCCCCGGGGGCGGGGCGGACTCCCGGGGCGGGGCGGGAGCGGCGCGGTCACGTGTGTACACAGGCCCGCGCGGCGTGCGCGCCGTCAGCCCCGCCGCCTCTCTCGGAGCCCCGAGCTGCCCCCCTCGCGGCGACTGCGCGGTCCACGGCCCAGCGAGCCGGTGAGTGGGCGCCGAACGCGGGGCGGGGGCGGATGGGCACACTCGGGGTCTCGGCCCGCGCGGCAGTAGCGCGGGACGCAGCGGCCCGGGGCCGGTGCTCCGCTCTGAGCTCTGACTTTCGGGTCCCCTCGGCCCCGCCCGGGCACGGTCCCCCGGCGGGTGGGAGCGCTGTCCCCGCCCGTGGCTGCCCTCCAGCCGTGCAGAGCCCAGCCGGCCGGGGCCGCTGCCCTGCGGTCATTCACCTGTCCGGGGCAGCTGAGAGCTGCTGGCCGCGTAGGAGGCTCAGCAACACCGCCGGCTCCTCACATGTCCTGCCGGGGACCGACCGCCTGCTCCTGGGTCACGTGGTTGTAACTTTCGTCCCCTTTTATGATTACAAAATCTTAGGAACTTCTGGAGCAACGTCTAAATGGAAATATCAAGTGTCGTTAATGGTCTAGGACACTTGATAAAAAGATAAAAACCCCTGGGCATCAGGCTCCTTCAAAACTTGAGAAGAAGGCAGTGCCCCAGCCTCTGAGCGCCCATCTACCCAGGACCAGAAACCCAACACCAAGTTAATGACATGAACACGGTAGCCGGGTTCATGGTCTCAGTGGGGCCCTGGTCTCAGCGTCGCAGTCCGTCCGGGCTTTGGGGAGACAGAGGGTGCGTCTGGACCTGACAGACTGTTCCCCCACCGCTGGACGTGCACTCACTTGGCAGCTCCAGGCCACCTGCCGACAACCAGCTCCGTGCCTCTGCGACCAGCGGCCCCCTCCTCCCCGCTGTTGGCGCATCTAGCCCGGCTGGCCTTCAGTCACCCGGGGGCGAGCAGCCTGCTTTCCAGGCCTCTGCAGACGCGAGAGCGTGAACACGAAGGCTCTGACCATGCTCCAGGCTGCCCACGCGTAAGGGGTACCAGACACTAACACTACCGTCGCAACTGGCTCCCCACCAGGGCGCCACCGAGAGGGAAAAGAGGCCCTACTGGAAATTATGCTGAGGGGACGGCCACACACTCCATGACCCGCTGCAGGGTCCAGCTCCCCACACCGGAACCTCTAGTATCTTCCTAAATGAAGAAGTCCTCTCTAAGATAACAGGCTTTGAAAAACCATAGCTTCATCTGGTGAGTGCGTACTGTGCCGAGTCACGGAGAGGAAGCTGGGGGGGGCCCTGCCCTTGACCACTGCTGTCCTGCCTCCCTGGGGGGGTAGGGAAACACCCTGAGACGAACACAGCATTAGTTCTGCACTGACTTGGGGTCCCTGGGACTCAGAAGCCCCTGGCAGGCAGGTGACGGGAGAAAGGCACGCACAGCCGCTGGATGTGGGTGTGTGGGGTTTTAGGTTAGAACGGAGAGCTGCTTATACCTATTATATAACGAAAAAGTGACATGCTTGCAAAGATCCCTGCCAGGAAGCATGCGTGCATGATTGCTGGTGGGAAGAGAGACTGGCCGCTTTCCGGGGCGGGGAGGGGAGGGTGCTCCTTGGGCAAGCTGCATCCATCCTCCAGGCCCTAGGATGTCATCTGGACCCTGAAAATACAACCTGCCGCCGGCCTTTCATGCCCCAGCTGCACCCCAGGGCTTGTCTGGGGTGAGGGCTGCTGTGCTCTGCACAGGACACACCCAGGCTGCTCCCTCCCTCAGCAGAACGCCCAGCTACCTCCCCCTGCTCGCCGCCGCCGTCTCCTCAGCGCTCTATGGCTAAAGCCTCTTGCACGACTGGGCCACACCAGGCTGCGACTGTCCACGGGGTCTCACAGGCCCGGGAGCCCAGAACACCAGCCAGGCATCAAAGAGCAGAGGGGACTCGGTCTAGGGAGTAAAAGTGAACTTTCTAATTTGAGAAGCTAAAACATGATGCTGCCAAGGGGCCGAGTTCGGCCCCCAAGACCTGCCAACAGAGCCCCCCTTGAATAGTGGAGGGACAGGGTGACACGGGCCGCCTGTCCCATGCGACCCCTCGGGTCCCCTTCCTCCCACACACGTGGTGGGAGGGCGGAGCGCACCTAGGAGTTTCCCAGTTTTAATGAGAACCAAGGAAGGCTATTACACCAAGTGTAATGGGCGTTCCTCCCTTGGAAAGAACCACGGGCAGCGATAAGATCTGTGGCTCCGAGCACCCCCCAGGTAAGAGCACACCAGGGAGAGGCAGGGCGGGGTGGGGGAGCCCAGCAGGGTGCCGGGCTGCGGAGCCTGAGCGGAGGCCTGGTCTGTTCTCCGTGTGGCCATTGAATTTCTGAGCGAGTCTTCCTGGTTCTGTTTTCCCCTGGTTGAGATTACCTGGAAGGAGCATTAGCCTCAAACCAAGGTAGTCAGTGGACAAGAAAAAGGCAAGAAACTAGAGCTCCACAAACAAGAGAACACGTGTCCCATATTCTCCCAGGGTGAAGAGCCTGGGACCCTGGGCGGGCGTCCTGGGCCGTTGGTCCCCGTTCCTGCAGCCCTTCCCGAGCGGCGGACGTGCCCGTTCTCTCCCACGGAGAGCCAGAGGCAGCTCGGTTTATGCCTGAGGCAGGCTGCCTGGTTCACACTCACCACTGTTCGGTTCAGAACCTTAAAAAGCAACAGGCTACAAAAATCAGGACACTCCATCTACATAATGGACCGTTTCTTATCACAGCCAGGAAGGCGCAGCGTCTGTGACAGGAATCAGAGGCGTAAGCTCTCTACATTGAAGACCTATGAAAACATCAGCTTTCCAGAGCGTCTGGCTCCTACCAGCTGCATGTTAATTGTAGCTAGAGCCTCTAGCCACTGTTACAAAAGGAAATAAACATTCAGGAGTCATTTTCAAAGCATTTTGAGGGCTCCAGAGCATTCAGCTGAAGTCCAGGTATTACGGTGCACGCGGGTCTCCAGGACTAAAGCCAGGCCGAGCCGCACTGCCCAGGCACTTTGGGGAAAAGCCTGTAACACCATCTCAGGCCTCCTCTTCCCGGACACAGCCAGCCAGGCTGCAGGGCACGGATCAAGGAATGCTCCCCCTTCAGGGAGCTCTCGGCAGGTGGAAACAGACGGGTGCAGTGGGACAAGTTCAGCGACCTCGGACGGGAGTTAGCTGGTTCTGCGGGCTGTGTGCGCGTGCACACGCTGACACTCATGCATGCGCACCCGCTCACTCAGGACCCCCTGCCCACCACAGCCGCCCGCTCCCCGCCCCCTGCCAGGTCGCTGCTCTGACGTGCTCCTGGCATCCTCCAATTTCCACAGAGATCACCGTACACTGTAGCCCTGAATTTGAGCAAGGTTTTTAGTTACCTGTGGACATTCACTTTTGAAGGGTTGGTTTATACCGTTCTGGGTTCTTTTTTTAAAAAAAAAAAATCATGGAAGAAAGACGCTGACATCTGGCCTCAAAACACTTCCAGCAGCTAGCCCAACTGACGTGCAGTCCTTGCCAGCAGAGAATGAAAGAAGGGACGGCGGAGCATCTGTAAGCAGGGGTGCCATTGGGGTGGAGACCAGCCCCACGGGGCTGGGACCCCAGCTCAGCTGCCTGTGTTGTTACCGAGGCCCTAGTGGGGTCCCAGGGACTCTCAGCTGTGCTGTGGGGTCTGATGGGGCCTGCAGCCTCTCCCCGTGAGAACTCGCACTTGGCCTGTGCCCGCGCTCAAGCCCTCTGTCCTCTCCGCCAGCGTCCTCTCCCCACGTGTCAGCTGGCAGAGAGTCTGAGTGAGAGTTCACGCGGCAGCTTCCTCTGCAGTAACGGACCGTGGAGGAGGAGGAGGAACCGCAGCCCACTGCACACGCCGGGGACTGGCCAGGCTCATCCGCTGACCGCACGTACTCCACCCTCGCGACAACCTCCTGACCCAGGGACCAAAGCCAGGCAGCTGTGAGCAGGGTGCCCAGGGAGCCCGGTCGTCAACCATGTGGAGTCCCGGTCTTGGCCCCTCGGCCCAGTTCACAGGCCACTGCTTGGTTCCCTCGCAGCCCTCGGGCAAGAGCTCTCAGCAGGCAGCGTGGGTCCCTCCCGAGGGGAGGACTGAGTCAGGCCAGGGGGCGCATCTGAGCTGCCTTCTCTAAGTATAAAAGCAGGGCCCTTGGTGCAGCAGGGCTTGGACATGCACCCTGTGGCCCCGAGGTCCCCAGGTGGGCACCGCTTCACAGCTGGCCCCGGCTGTTCTGCTCCATTGACCAGGCCTGTGGCCAGTCCCCCGCCAGGGCCCCGCAGTCACCGATCATTGCGGGGGAGCTGCTGCCTCACTGCGCTGCCCCCACGGCCCTGGACACCGCGGCCCCTCCTGGGCTTCATGGCTTCCTGGGCCGCTGAGCAGAGGCGTGGTCTGTCAGCTCACTTTTCCTGAGGCCCAGCCATGCCCACCTAGAGCGGGCCTCCACACTAAGCCCGTGTCCCGCAAGACCCTCTCGGCCCACATGTGACTCAAGTCAGCACGGCCCGGCACCCACCCAGGCCACAGGGCCATCCGACAGGGCCTCCTGGGTGCCAGAGAGAGCGGCAGACATCCTGGAAGTGCCTGCTCAGGGCCCAGAGCAGAGCGGGGACCATCTTCTCCGGAATCCAAGACAGCAGGAGAGCTGCCCTGGGGTGCTCGGCCAGCGCCGCACACTCTGTGCTCATGTCAGCATCCACCTTTGAGCCCGGCGGCCATGGGTTTTCCTCTCGTGGTGTCTCCGCTCCCCCCCGCCCGAGCCTGGAGCAGACAGCTCTTCAGTGCCATGCCGACGACCCCGCCAAAGAGCCTCCCGCCCAGCACAGCCGGGGGAGCTCCCACCCAAGGGGCACACAGCGTGACCACGGGGTGGCTGAGCCTTCCCAGGGCTGGAAGTTGGCGAGTCTGGGAGAACGTCTTCTTGAAAGATAATTATTGGAACCCAGAGAGGGTCTTGGAAGAAAACTATCAGTACTTCTGTGCACGGGAACATCTGTGATGAATGACAGTCACTCCAGTTGAGGGTCAAGGAAGAGAGGGGGCTCTAGAGACAGCTGAGTCCTCAGAAACGGGTGCGGTGGGACAGAACCCCAAAACGACTCCGTGCCCTGGGCCTCCCGTGGAGACAAAACCACTACTTCCACGTCCGGCAGCCCCGAGCAGGGCTCGCCCTGCCTGCCCCGTTGGAGGTGGCCACCCTATCACCATGCCCTTCCGATGGGCTAGCTTGAGGTCAGTGGCAGTGCCGCTGCCCAGGTACCACAGGTGGACGCCAGCTTGTCTGACTGTGAACCTCTGGCCTTGGGGCCTCAGCCTGGTTCCCTCCAGAGGGCAAGGCCACTGGGGTCCGAGAGGGGACCCTCTGTGCTGTGGCAGTGGTGACCTCGGCTGGGTTCCCTTGAAGGCTTCCCTCAGCCCCCGGAGCCGCGCACGCAGCAGGTGGGCAGAGAGGCCTGAGAGCGTCCCCATCACACTCACAAAGCAGCAGCCCCAGCAGGCCACGCGCAGGCCAGCTCGTTGATCGGGCCCAACGCCGCCCGACTTCCTGGTCCTCTCAGATTCTCTGAAAGCAGCATGATTTTTGAGCTCCAGCCTCTCCCAAGGCTACCCTCTCGTGCCATGCATGCAGCCAAGCCTGCAGAGAAAGACCCTGAGCAGGTGCTTCAGCGCCAGGGGCAACGTTCTGAGCCAGCTGAGCCCCCCGCCCCGGCCCACAGAGACGACCTCCACCCTGGAGTCTCAGGCCGGCGGTGCCCTCCCGCGGGCGAGGTAACTCTCTGCGCTGTCAGGCTGGCCACCCTCCTCTCTCCTCTCCACTGCTGGCCCCAAGCCTGGAACCACCCTGGCCCGAAGCTAAAGACCTCTCCATCCCTTCGAACAAGACTGGCCAGACGCCCGCTGCATAGCAGCCACGCCAGGACCAGGCAGGGGAACGGACGCGGTGAAAGCCGCCGTGCTGGCAGGGCCAAGGCTGCTGCTTCAGGAGCATAATCAGAAACAAGACGGTGGGGGTGCAAGTCACCTTTAGATCAGTGATTAATCCCCTTATAGGAGGAACAGGATACAGCTGTAACTGGACCACCGCGGACAGCCCGAGGCGCATGCCAGTGCCAGCCTGCGGAGCTGCTTCCCACTTCTCTGCCGGGCCAGGACACTGGGGCCGACCAGCCCGCTCCCCCGGCCCAGGGCCACACGCCGGCCGAGCAGACGATCAGGGCTCGGCGGTCCTCCCGCTGGCATCGCTGCAATCCCCGAGGCAACACGCCTGCACGCGTCAGGCGCGGCCCTGCTCCGTGGACCGAGGCTGGTTGCAGCCCTGGCTCGGCACGCCTGCCGCAGAAGAGAGGCGACCGCAGGCCGGGGTCCGAGAGCAACTGGGTTGCCTCTCGGTGGACGTGCACACACCTGTATGTTCCCCAGGCCCAGTGGAGGGGAAGTCACGCAGGGTCCCTGGGTGGAGGCCAGGATCCCAACCAGGCAGAAGAGAGGTTCGGGCATGGAACCGGGACCCAGCCGGGCTGGCGGGAGTGGGAGTCCACGGAGGGCCCCTGGGTGCAGTCCTGTGGGAGGACAGGAGGTCGGGGCCACTCCTGGTGTCTCGTCTGACGAAGGGGCCGTGGACGAGACCTGGTGTGGGCGCTGCAGCTGGGTGCTGGTGCCGGAGGAGGCATGGGGGAGATTTGGAGAGCGGAGACACAGCGAAAGCATGAGAGGAAGGCGGCCACCCGGGCCAGCGAGTCTGGAGGCAGGCCCGGAGGAGGCAAGGCGGGAGGGCAGCCGGACAGGACAGAGCCGGGAGGACAGGACAGCCGGGAGGACAGGACAGAGCTGGGAGGATGGGACAGAGCCGGGAGGACAGGGCAGAGCCGGCGGGGGGGGGGGGGGGGGGGGGGGGGGGGGGGGGGGGGGG